CTGAGCCCTGAGCCAGACAGACACAGGGCAGAAATGTAAATGCCTCCTCTTCCTAGAGGAGAGGGAGTGTGCACAGGAGTAAACGTCACTGTCCATCCAACTGGGCTCCAAGGCCAGTACCAAAGCACCTGTGAGTACCCACGGGGATCCCGGGCCCTACGCCGAAGGGGGAGGTACAGCGGGGGATGTTCGGATGTCCTTCATGGAGCCCAGTGCTGGGGAGAGGCTGCCAGTTCTCAGGAGGCTACATGGCTTCTCCATGGCCTCGTGCTGTCAATGGGGAGGTGACACCCTGGAGACAGGAGATATATCATGTGTCACCTGGCCTGGGCTCTCCACAGTCGAGGAAGGCAGCGTGCACATCCACTTCGTCAGTACCGACTACAGCAACCTCATCCTTTATGTATGCTTCGAGGACAGCGAAGTCAGCAGCCTGTGGGCGCTGCTGGGTAGGTGATGGCTATTCCACTGCTGGCCGCTGTGTCCAAGGGGGCTATGTGGGTCACTCCCTGGTCTGACCAGAGACTTCTTGTGAAGGAAGAGGGTCTCTTGTGCTAGCTGTACTGACGGTGTGTGGGCAGCTCAGAGCTGCAAGCAGGCATTGCACCACACAGGTTCCATTCACTCATTCATTCATTCCTCATTCAGTCATTCACTCACTCAACTGATAAGCATCGGTGTCTGCTACAGCCTGGTGCTGTCCCGGGAGCTGGAATTAGTGGTAACTGGGTAAGAAGGGCTCATGGAAGAGTGGGAATGTCAGTGGCTGCTGCCTCCTGAAGATGGAAGGGAGGTATGGCTGGGGTGCCTGAGATGAGGGCAGGAAGGATCAGCCAGAGCCAGGGCCCTGTGGTGATAGTCACAGCAGCCAAAAGCCCTAGCTCTGAGGACAGGAGGCAGAGCAGGGTGAGGCTGAGCTCTCTGGGGTCTTCACCTGGTAGACGCAGGCCATGCTTACTTGTTCAAGAAGTGCTTGGCTGTGTGCTAGCATCAGACCTGCTTCCTCCAACCCCCACCCCCGGTCCCCCGCTTTTTCTTTCTTTTCTTAGTGCTGGGGATGGAACCCACGGATCCTGCTGGGCACATGCTCTACCACATTCAGCTGAGACACATCGGCAGCCCTAGACCTGCTTTTAGAGGAGATGGGGAGGGGCTGTTGCAATGGTGGAGGGACAGGGCAGTGCTAGATCTGAAGGGTAGCTGGGGAGGTCTGATCAACACCCCAGTCTGTGCCCCTGCAGCCCAGGAACAGGAGACAGGCAGTGTCAGGGATGGCCGGGGTCTCTGCCTGGGCTTAGCTACCCCTTTGTTCACCCCGGGGGATGGGGGTAGAGAGTTTACAGGCTCTGAGCTTTGCTCTCACCATCAGCTCTCTGATTTCAGGAAGAAGAATGCTTGAGGACCCCACATGGCTAGGGAAATACCTGGTATTTGTGGAGAAATTCCACCTGGAGAAGGCCCCGGTCTTCAATACTGCTGGTGAGTGCTGCCCGCAGCTGCTCCACCCTGCCCCTTCCTGATCTACCCCTTTAGAGTAACAATATAAGAGCCTCCTACAACCTCTACCAGGTGCTCCCTCCACCAGGCCTCACGTGGCCTCATGGGACATGTGATGCTTTCATGCCATGGAGTGACTCAGAGACAGTCCAGAGAAGCAGGGAAGCACAATGAGGAGGGAAGGCTGGGAGCAGTCCAAATGTCAGGCCTCCTGACCCCAGCAACCCAGCCCTCCAGTACCAACACCCAGGGCGTTAACCAGCCAACACACAACCACACCCGTTTTGGGAGTTTAGGAAGTTTGAGAAGCATACCAAACCAGATAGGCACATTTCCTGTTCTGGTCACACCCAAGCAGAGGGTAAAAGGCCAAGGTTGTGCCTATCAGTCAGGGACAGAAGCCATGGGGACAGGTAGCAGGGTTTGGGCAGCAAAGCCTGGTCACCTCACATGTGCAGAATTCAGAAAGGGAATCCTGAGAGGAAGCCCTGGGCTGCCTGGAAGAGGACAAGTGTTGGAAAGCTTATACCAGGGCATGGGGCCGCAGCAGGATGTGGTCACCATGTGGGCTGGACAGACGGTCCAGACTGAACAGTTTTGTATTGTGGTCAATTCCTTGGCTGACTGATTCCAAAGCTGTCAAGTGAAGGCCTTAATACCCCCCTGTCTCTGCCTCTCCACAGGCCAGTGCCCTCCACCTCTGAACCTAGGTGAGGTTGCTACCTGAGACTCCCTGCCTGGTTTCCTTCGCCTTCCACTGCCTCAGCTTCCCTCCCTCCTCCTCACCTTGGCCTGTAGTTCAGGAAGTCCCTTTGCTTCTCAGGGGCCAAAGAAGCCCCTCTATCCTCGAGCTGACTCCTGCCTGCCCCGTCCTTCCTCTGTGGTCATTAGGTCCCATCAAACAACAAAGGGACCCACAAGGCCCCCAGCCTTGGCCTCTGGCCGGAGATGCTAAGGAAGGGCACGTGGCCCCAGGCTCCTGGTTCACACACCTCAGGCTCCACGGTCCCTGGTATTCACCCAGAGCTGCCTCCCCATTATCTCCCATTGTGTGCTTCAATAAGGGCAACCCCACAAGGGAGCCTCAGACTCCTGGTACCTCTGACCAGCCCCTGCCTGACCTGTGAGAGACAACCCCCACCCCCACCCCAGTGATCATGGCTGCTGACCAGCAAGAGCTGCCAATCAGGCAGGTCTGAGGAAACTGGGTCAGGGACTTTGATACCTGCCCTCTGGGTGTGCCCAAGACGGGTCTGGCCAGATGCCTGACCTAGAAAACAAGCTCTGCAATTAAGGAGAGGCTACGATCCAACCAGGCTCTTCAGTCAACCACTCTAAGACAAACCCAACCTAACCCCAACCAGTGGGCACCGAGTGAGATTTTAACGCAGAAGCGCAAAAGCTGGCAATGAACACAGTCACAAGACAGAGTAGGATGGCTTCCCTTCAACCAGCAACCCTCAGGAAAACACGGCAGAAGAAACATGACCACAAAGGCCATGCCCAGACCTAGCAGGAAGGAGCACGAACCAGGGTGTTGCTAACAGAAAACATACTGTTCTTGGGGGTACGGCCCAGGGCAGAGTGTGCCCAATGCACTCAAGACCCAGGTCCCATTCCTTCTTGGCACCAGGAAAAATGATTTGAATAAATGAGATGTGACATTCCTGTGTCTCCCTCAGTAGGAAAAAGATTTAATAAGCTTTACGTTAATCTCTACACTGTAAGCAATTCAATGTTTCTGCTGCAAGAATTCCTCCCTGGGGGAGACATAAGCAAAGCCAACCCCTCCCCAGGCATGCTCGAAGTACCCTCATGTGGGCTCCCATGTACTAACCTCTCCTTATAAAGTCACCAGGCACATTGGATTAGCTCCAGCACTGCCCACAGCCCAACCTGAACTTTATAAACTTGGTAAGGACACTGTCTCCCAGTATGGTCAGTTCTCAGGAACTGGGGATTATGGTTCAGTACATGAGTGTGGGGAACCACTGATTCCTGGGCTTCTCTGTGTGACTACACTGCCCATTTTGGAAGCAGTGGCTGCCTGACCTCGCGGGCTGTGGGTGACTACATGTTCCTCACTGATCTTAGCAGCACTCTTGAACATGTAAGATCAGTGGTACAGACACTGTCATGGCCTGTCTGGGCACAGGCCACTAAGGACACAGTGCTTCCCTCGTCACCCTGGCAGTGTCCCCGTGAGGAGCTCAGGAAACATAAAACAAGCACATCTGTAATTCCAGCTCTTGGGAGGCTGAACAGGCAGAGAGTAAGTTTGAAGTCAGATTTAAGGTCAGAAATAGTGAGACCTGGTTTCAAATGAGTTTGTAGTTACTAGAGCTTTTGTTGTTGACGACAAGCCTAACAGCACTGTGGTCTGATAAGAGTGAATGGAATTATTTCAATTTTTTTTGTATTTGGTGAGGTTTGTTTTGCGTCCCAGTACACGGTCAATTTTAGAGAAACTTACACGGGCTGCTGAGTAGAAAGTATATTCTTTGGTGCTTGGGTGGAATATTCTGTAGACACCTGTTAGGTCCATTTGATGTATGATGCCATTTAATTCAGACGTCTCTCTGTTTATTCTTTTGCCAGTCGACCTATTGGAGATAGTGGGGTACTGAGATCACCTACTATCACTGTGTTGGAGTTGATCTCAGCAAAGCTTCCTTATACAACAGAGTGCGATGCACACAGAAATCCACAAAGGCTAAGTTTTAGAGATAAGAATGACCACGGTGGGCCGGGCATGGTGGCACAGGCCTTTAATCTCAGCACTCTAGATCTGTATGAGATGGAGGACAGCCTGGTCTACATAGCAAGTTCTAGGCCAGCTGGGCTATAGGGAGACTCTCTCTCACCAAAGCAAAGCCAAACAAAAAACAAGGCCGAACAGTCTTGAAGAATGACACCCGGGGTTTCCTCTGGCCATCACGTGCGTGCACACACATATACATGTGTGCTGATATACACAAACATGCACACACTCTCTCACACACACAAGTAAGTTTAATCCCTGTCTCTGTAATAACATGTATTGGGCATGCTTCCAGTTCCTCTAGGTCCACCACATTCTGGGCAGACCAGGACTGCAGGAGAACGCTGGTCACAAGGCGACGTCTCAACAACATACTGTGTATTTGACAACTGAGCTGACATTAACTTTTCTCCTACATAGTAATATTAAAGACCTGTTCCAACTTCGTGACTAGATTTTTCTTAACTAAAGTCTTTCTCCTTTTAAATAAAATGTGCTCTGTATCTCGAGTATTTCCCATTACCTACAACGTAGAGACAACAGCATTAAGTATATGGACAAGAAATGGCATCTTTTATTCGTCCAGGTTTGGCCAAATTGAACGGTTCAAAATTGCAAGAAAGAACAACTCCTTGGAAATAGTATACGTAGCTAATCCTCTGGGAAGGGGGAGGTTTTTATGACGTCCTGTACCTGGAAGGAACTGCTGTGATTCCTTCTTGGGTCCATAAACAATGGTATTTCACCAGCTGGCTGTAGGGTGCTCAGCAACCTTCACACGCCACACCTGCCGAGGGATTCTGAACACCGGGTTCCAGCAGTACTCTGGGGATAGCAGCTTGGTGGGTTTATTGAGGAAAAAATACTTGTTGAGGTACTTTTCATAGGTGCTATTAATTCCGTTTTCTATGTCCCAAATAACATTTCTTATGTACTCCTGGACCACACTCAAAACCTGAAGGGGCACACCACCAAATATTGTGCCGGCATAATAGAAGTCCCCCAGTTCAAAGGGGATATAGGCTGTTGACTGAGCTCTCCTCTCATAGGGGAAGTCCGTGGTATTTTGAAAATACCACCAGAAATGGAGCTGAGCCACAGATTTACCCAGGGTCTCCACCCCAAACTCGTTCTGGAAGATGAGGTTGGCAGTCATGCTGAAGAGAAAGTCCACCTCATCCTTGATGTGTTGCTGGATGTAATCGCCCAAGATCTTCATGCGAACGAGGTCAAGGTGGTTCCACCACCTCTCTGAACCCGACATAAGGATCTGGAAGGATTGCAGAGGGCTGTGCTTTATGTCAGGTAGCTGCAGGTGCCTGTCCACGATAATGTAGAAAATCACCTTGTGGCCAGGCATGAAGAACTTGCTGGCTGATTGCAAGAAGAGGTCAAGATACTCATCTATGAGCCTGGGAACACACAGAAGCAGCAGCTTATGTTTCTAAGTGCAACGGATGCAACTGAACGTATTGTCAAGAGCAAGTCCTTGACATAAATAGCCCAGATAGCTCAGAGTGGAGATGCTGGGTCTGAAAATCCACCAAAGTGGCTAGTGATGCAAGACTGCAGCCACACGGGCCTTCTGCATGACTCACGTTTCTGCCACTGTGATAAAACACCATGACCCAGGCAGCTTATAGACGGAAGAGTTCATTTAGACTCATGGTTTCAGAAAGACACAAGTCCATCGCCTGGGGGAGGAGGCATGGCGGGAGGCATCCAGAGCAGAAAGCCGAGAGCTCACATCTTCAACAGCAAACAGGAAGCACTGGGTGAAACTGGAAGTGGGGCCAGGCTATGAACGCTCAAAGTCCATCCCCCGTGACATGCTTCCTCCAGCAAGGCCGCACCTCCTAAAGGTTCCACACCCTTCCCCAAACGACACCACTGAGTGGGGACCTATACCAAGTGCTCAAATACTTGAGCTGATGGGGGACATTTCTCATTTAAACCACCATGCCTGACAATGGCCACAGTGTTTTAGAACAATGCAGAGCAAAGTGGAATGTTAGCCAAGAATTCCCAGTTGGCCTTTATAGACCGGGCTGTGGTGACGGGACTAACTACTGCAAACCATAAGTAGCCAACAGAGTGAGGAACAAGTAGTTCCTTTGGGGCTAGGATACCCACAAATGCTCAACCGTATTTCCCAGAATAAAAGGAGCAATGCTTTGCAGCATCTACCTGTCAAAGGCAAACACAGCCAGACCCACAGTGATGTTCTGCTTTCTGTAAAATTTCTCCAGGGCCTCTCTGTTGAAGGTGCCTTCCCATATGACTGGGGCCAGCCAGTTTGTGGTTGTGATGACATCCAAGCGATTCCTGTGGGACACACAAGGGACAGGATTAAGATTTGCCAGGATGCTTCAAGAGTTGAAAACAATCACAAGTCACCATATCAAAAGCTACAGAACAGCCACACACTGGGTGCCACTATGGGGCAGCAGGGATAGGCACTCAGAGCCAGAGGCTACTGCTGACGTGGCGCAGAATGAGTGTCAATCAGCCATGGTAAACCCCAGTTCCTTCACTTGACCCTGGCGATGCCCACTCCCCAGGTACGCTGGCTGATTTTTGTCCAACACTTATTAACAACAAAAGCAGTAATGAAATAACGGGCCAGGGATCTAAGTGGACCTTTGTCCACAGACAATATACCAACATTCCAAGAAAAACAAAAGACGCTCACTGGCATTAGTTAAAAAGTACGCTAGCTGGGTGTGGTGGAGCAAGCCTTTAATACCAGCACTTGGGAGGCAGAGACAGGCGGATCTCTGTGAGTTCAAGGCCAGCCTGGTCTACAGAATGAGTTCCAGGACAGCTGGGGCTACAGGGAGACCCTGTCTCAAAAAGACCAAAAAAAAAAAAAATACACTCACTGGCATTAGTTAAAAATACGTTCCACTGGGGCTGGACAGATGGCTCAGTGGTTGAGAGCACTGAATGCTCTTGAAGAGGACCCAGGTTCGATTCCCAGCACCCACATGGCGGCTATGAACCGTCCTTAACTCCAGTTCCAGGGGAATCCAAAGCCCTCTTCCGACCTCTGCAGCACTGCACAACACGGTGCACTCACATACATGCAGACAATACACTCGTACACACAAAATAAAAATAATAAAATATTTTCTAAAATTAAAAAAATACGTTCACTGGCGTTAGTTATCTGAGAACACAAATCGAAACCACGTCAACACCGACAGTCTGTTATATATTTTTGATATTTTCTGATCAGTTGTTCAGAGGATTGAGTTAACACCTCAGTTTATAGCAGTCTAGTTGGGTGAATATCACCTTGTTCCACCTATGACTCATTAATCTCTCCATTTCCTCCTTCAGCTGTTTTTTTAAAATGCAGATTATAAACTGGGCATGGTGGTGCACGCCTTTAATCCCAGCACTCGGGAGGCAGAGGCAGGCGGATCTCTGTGAGTTCAAGGCCAGCCTGATCTCCATAGCGAATCCAGGCCAGCTGGGGCTACAGGGAAATCCTGAGAGGGGGAGGTAGGGAGGGAAACAGGGAGGGAGGGAGGGAGGGAGGGAGGGAGGGAGGGAGGGAGGGCAGCTGTGAGTCTCAGTGAGGAGCCCGTAGAGATGCCGGAACCCTTCTGTTTGCTGCTTTCCAGTCTCTCTTTGCCCTGTGCTGGTTTGACTATGCGGCATCTAGTAGTGGATCTCTGCAGCCCATCTTACCTGGAGCTGACCAGTCTCCTGTGATCACTGGTTCTGTCTGCTTGCGCCTACTGGAGTTTTAATTTCCCTTGGTAATACTTTCCAGCTCTAGATTTCCAATTTGGTTCTCTTTGATGATGTCTGTGTCCTTATTGGTGATATCTGCGGCACACAGCGTCCACCTCCTCAGTTCTTGTATTTACTAAAGCAGCTTATTTAAACTTGTCAGTCCAATGTCTGGGCTTGTCCAGGGATAGTTGTTATAGATCCCTCCCCTTCCCCCTATATAGGGTAACAGGGTAGTTTCTTTGCATGCTTTTACATTTTTTAATTGAAAACTGAGTAATTTAAGTAGCAATAGGGTTACTTCGGGGATCAGATTTTCCCTCCTATCCGGGGGTATTTTTTTCTTTTGTTATTATGTTCGCTTGTGTCTTGACCCTTTTGAATTCCTTTGGTAAATTCTGTGTTTTTCGTGCCTTCTAAGCACCAAGGTCTCTGTTGATTCGCTTGGTGGTTAGCAACTGCGGGGTAAGTTCCCACAAATGATTGGGTTGAGTAGGTCACCTGCTGTGCTTTGGTGCCCTGGGCACAGCCGAGGTATGCCAGTTTCACCAAGCCAGGAGGCTGGCCGTGAACTCTGCCTCGGGTCTCACTTCCTGCTTGCAGAGAGCCTCCGTGTCAGCCGGGGGTGAGCATCCAGCGTCTTCTCAGGTCTTTTCTGACACAGTCCTCCATATGCAAGGTTTTCTATCCTGGGTGTTGAATATTTGCCAGAGCTTTCCAAAGCCCTTAGGCTATCTCGTGAACCAAACTTTCCTTAAACTCTTAGCTCCGTTTATTTGGCCCCCATAGTCACCTGGCAGTGTGACTTGATTTCAACAAGTGTTCCAGGAGAGATCCTGCATGACAGCCTTGCACATACCAGACAGGTCAGATGATGAGTTCTTTGAGCCTGAGGCTTTGAAGAGTTTCAGAGTCACTATCCTCCAGGGCCTTCCACATGAAGACCATCATCTTCCAAGGCTGTGGTAAAACTGGGGGTTGACACTGGGACCAGGGTAAGATAAGTACCCCAAACTTCTTTGTCCCCCCTGAGATTCAGCTATTGCCCAGATTGCTGCTAGCCTTTGATCAGTCTTCACAGGGCCAGGAAAACTGATTCTGTTTCTCTCATTGGTTTTATGTGGAGTACACATACTGTGGTGGTTTGAATAGGAAACATCCCCTATAGGTCAGGTATTTGAATACTTGGCCCCCTGCTGGTGGTGCCGGCTGTGGAGGTTATGGAACGTGGAGTCTTGCTGGAGGAAGCACATGACTGGGGAAGGGCTTTGAGAGTTTATAGCCTTGTCCCACTTCTAGTTTGCTTTGTCTGCCTCCCACATGTGAATGGAGGTGTGGTCTCTTGACTTCCGGTTCTGGCCACCTACTACCAAGCCTCCCCCACCATGATGGGATCACTGAGGCAAGATAACTCTTTCTTTTAGGTCATGGTGCTTCACTGCAGCAACAAAAACTAATATAGATTCCATTCTATTGCCAGTGTCAAAAAGCAGGGAGATCTTTGGGAATTTATACTAAGGTGGTGCCTTGGAAAATTATTCTCCATTATACAGATAGTTTGTATCCCCCAAATGTGTATGTTGAAACCCTAAAGCTACAAGTGATGGTATTTGGAGGTGAGGCCTTACAAGTCATGAAGTCATAAGGGTGGGTCCCTCCTGGTGGGGTTTGTTCCCTTGTAGAAGAGGCAGGAGAGAGCCGGCTTGCTGTGCTTCATGTCTCTGCCTAAGCCAGGAACAAGCACTCCCCAGATCTGGACCATTGACCTTGGATTCAGAGCCTCCAGAGCTATGGGAAGTGATTCTCTCTGTAAACCACCCGGTTTGAGAATTCTGTTAACATGGTAGGAATCCTCTGAGAAAAAAGTAATGCAGTGTGGTCTTGTAATACCCCGAGCCCTCCGGTTTTGTGTAAGTTTAAGTGGTCAGTCATCTGGTCATAGGCCCACCCCCAGGAAGGTGGGTTATACTAAATAGATGGGTGTAATACCTAGTGAGTTGATGAGATAGCGAACTTTTCCTGCCTGGAGTCCCACCTTCCAGCACAGAACTCAGTGCAGAACTTCTGAACCAGCTACAGCCATGCAGTCTGTGAGTTTGCCCACTTCCCTGAATTCTCCAGAGAAACATAATCTCTCCTTTCCTTCTCCATATCCCTTTCCTAAACACGCTTTCTTTAAGGCTTTGGGCTCCCCCAGCATCTTGTATTTCTTTACTTTCTCTAAAGCTTCCTTCTCCCAGGATGTGGCTAACAGGTAGCCGTGTGTCTGACCCCCACGCAGGCTGTAAATTGCATGGTTTTATGGCTTCTTTCCCTCTCCCCTCCATTCTCCATTCTCCTCCTCAAGGCAGCTGCCAAGATCACCAGCTTGCCTGCCCCCCACCTGAGGATTTTTCTTTAAAATTCTAATAAAATTGTAAAAGCTCAATTCCACTGGTTCAGAACTTTTTGAGTCTGGGTAGTCTTTCCTGGTGGTCCCGAACTCTGTAAGCCTGTGCTTGAGTGCAGGTGCATACCGTGTGCCATGATCTGGTAGCACAGGGCACCCAATCAGGATGTGTATGTCACCATATACAGAGGACAAAGAAACTAGACTGTAGTAAAAGCCTGGGTTTTCAAGGCTCTGCTTTTTTTGAGAATTGTGTCCCGGAGCCAGGAACTAGCACAATAAACTGCTTCCTGGAGGAAAGAAATGCCTCGGTGTCTCGTCTCTCTGCACCATGGCTTTGCTGCATCATGGCAGCCAGAGCGGCCCAGCACCAGCCTACCTCCATCCAATTTTACCCAACACTCTACCCAGGAAACCCATGAAGAAGACAGCACTGGTCCCAACAGCAAGACCAACCCAGTGCCAGGACAGGTCAATGAGTAGATAGGCCAGCTGTCTCCTTTCTGGATGGTCACAAGGTGTCAAAATGTGTTTCAGTGAGAAGACAACTTGGAAGGATTCTTAACATGGCTTTGAGGAAGAGGTGAGTCCCAAAATATTGTAAGTATGATGACCTCTTTATAAAGTTATAAACCAGGACTAGAGAAATGGCTCAGTGGTTAAGAACATGTGCTATTCTTGCAGAGGGCCTGAGTTTGATTCCCAACACCCACCAACTTTCTCCTTGGCACCAGGACCGCCTGTCTTGGGATACTCTACTGGACTTGGAAACCAATTCCTGACTCTAAGTGCCCCAGCAGAGCCGTAATCAGTGGTTAGGCAGAAACCTGTCACCTCAAAGTGGCATGTGTTATTTTTTGAAAGATTATCTTTGTTCTTACCTGGGTTTAAACCAGTCTGAGCGCTGAAGTTGTTCTTCCTGGTGGTCCCTGATACAAAGAGGAACAGGTTATTATAGATTCTGTTTGTTCAGCTTGTACCCACTGAGCACCAAACGGGCAAGCTCTGCCCTTCAGGCTTCATCTGTCCACACTGCCCAACCTTGGCCTCTGGTGATTTCAGACAGCCCTGGGCAGTGATGCAGCTCTAGGGGCACAAATTGGGGCCAGGGGAAGATGCTGGGAGAGGAAGTGTCTCTCCTGGGCTTGGAAGGAGGCACGCTGATCCCAGGAACAGGCACAGAGAAGGGGATCAGAACCCAGAGCAGAGAGAACAGCACAGTTACTGGAAGGAGGGTTATATAAAAATTACCAGCCAAATCCGAGAACGTAAACTCAGACAAAATACAGAGTTCATTTATTTACAGAGTTCATTTATTTAGAGAGGTCAGGGAGAGGAGCACAGATGCTCGCCTTTGATCTTCTTTTCAGTGCAGATGCTTCTGTCTTGAGACAGGGTGATGTCCTGGACAAGTACATTGTGAGTGTAGACACTGTCAGCTGGAAAAGCAGTTCAACATGACAACTGTGGCTTAGCCTGACCCACCTTCAGTGGGCTCGGAACAGTCAGATACCTACAGCTGAGCAAAGCCACTGTGAGAAGGCAATGAAGGGTCCACGGGACTTCCTGACTCTCTTCCCACAGTGGGAAAGAGAACGGCAGTGTGGGAGCCCCTTCCCACTGCAGGCGAAGGAGTCCACACGCACGTGGTCCTGCGAGTCCATCTTGAGAGCTCTGGGACTCTGTTCAGCTTAATCACCTGCTGGAAAGCTTCCGGTTCACCATCTGGCCGTCAGTAACAGGAATGGCTTCCAGAGCTCATCCCTTTTAGATGTAATGTGACGCAGCCTGGGTGCAATAGTCCATTCTCCCCAGGACGGACTATCAAACCTTGCAGCCCAGGACGACCCTCATCAGCAGCACGTGACAAGCAGGGAACTTGCTAAGAAGCCATCGTGTTTCAATGTGTTTGTCTTGTTAATTTTTGGATCCAGAGCAGAAAGCATGGCTGGCTGAAGGCAAGGGCCTGACCCGAAGAGCACTGTTAACCACAGAGACACTCTCAACCAGCAAATGTGACACCCTGACCCTGGGGCGGCCCACTGGTGCTGAGCCAGCGAGGCCTGGATGTCACCTGGCATCAGAGATAGCCCTGGGCTCCTGTGCCATCAGCTTCTTCATAGTAGACAGATACCAAGCCGTAGCTTTACACATCTGGGCCCAGAGCTCAAGTCCATTCTATTACATACCAACACCACCATGCCCCAAACCTGTTGACCCCGCAGCTGAGACAGATCCCACCCACCACAGCCCTCAGGACTCTCTGACCCAGAGCATCCAAGGATGGGATCCACATGAGTTAGACAAGTAGCTGACCTCCCCTACACAGAAAACCTCTCCACTGTGGCCCCCAGTCCATTCTGGGAGGTACTACCTCTGTCTGCAGAAAGCAATCTGCTAGGAGAAAGAGGCAACCCTCACATAATCCTGTCTCAAGAGCTCCAGCAATATACTGTCATCTCAGGCCCTGTGTCTTCAGTAACCAACCCTCAAGTCCTTAACCCCGCCCCCACACACGTGCACACACATTCATACATACACACTACAGATCTACTGACCTACACATAGGAAGACGCAGCCACCCGTAGGGACGCAATTTGCTTTTCTCTCTCTCTACCTGCTAGTTTTGTTCACCGGTTTACAGAATGTTGTCCTGCAGACTGCCATCTGAGAAAGTGCCTTTTCTGAGGAGGGAATTGTCACATAAAATGCAGGACATCTGTGGAATTTGAGTTGAAGAGGAGAGGGTGAGTTTGAAGTGTTTCAAATATTGTGAGACACACTTCTTCCAGTGATTTCCCTGTCTTTAAATGGGGACAAAAACCCGTCACGGTTTGAATTAGATGGGTAAGATCCTCTTAGCTAAGCAGTTACTGAGTAACTGCTATCTGCACAGCACTGGCTCTGGGTGGGTGGCAGAGGACGAGCCACTGGGGTCTCCTATCTCAACACATCATGTGTGTTTCCACAAGCCGTAAGCCAGAACTCTGCTGGTCTACATCCTCGCCGGGACTTGGCTAGTGTTTAGAAGTCAGCTGTGCTCATGTAGGGCGGTCTCCCCGATGCAGACTGCAATTCCCTAATGACAGAGGACATTGAGCATCTTTTTTATCTTCTATGTTATGTGTATGTGCATGCACATGTTTGTGATGTGCATGTGTGCGTGTTGTGTGTGTGCCAGAGGTTGGGGTCCACTGTCCTCTTCCATCCCCCCTTATTTTTTAAGATTTTATTTATTATTTTTATTTTATGTGTACGAGTGTTTTACCTGCATGTATGTAAGTGCGCCACATGACTGTAGTGTCCGTGGAAGCCAGAAGAGGGTGGCAAATCCCATGGAACTGGAGTTAAGGATGGTTGTAAGCCACCTTGTGGGTGCTGTGAACTAAGTCCAAGTCCTAAACAGGAGCAGCCAGCTTTTTTAACCACTGAGTCATTTCTCTAGGGCCTCACCTCATTTTTTTTTTCTTTTGAGACAGGGTTTCTCACTTAACCTGAAACTCACCAATTCAGTAAGACTGACTGACCAGAGAGCCCCCAGGATGTGCTTCTGTCGTCACCCCCAGCACTGGGATTACAAACCAGTGCCACCACATCTGACTTTTTACATGTGCGTTGGAGACCCAAACTTAGTCGTCACATTTCCAAAGCAAGCACTTTACCACTGAACCCTCTTCCCAGCTCTGAGTATATGTTTGCTTTCTGTCTGTATGTCTTTTCTGACAAAATCAGTGCATGATTCTTTTGCCTATTTTAAAAATCAGGTTTCTGGGGCTGGAGAGATGGCTCAGCAGTTAAGAGCACTGACTGCTCTTGCAGAGGACCCGGGTTCAATTCCCAGCACCCACATGGTGACTAACAACCATCCTTAACTCTAGTTCCAGGGGAATCCGACGCCCTCTTCTGACCTCCGTGGCATTGCACGACACAGGTGCACTCACACACATGCAGGCAATACACTCATACATATAAAATTAAAATAAATAAAATATTTAAAAAATAAAGTAAAATCTGGTTTCTATTTCCTTACTGTCCTGCATTTTAGGTACAAGTTTTTGACCACGTATGTGTTATGCAGAGGCTTAATTTTTCTAAGATATTCTCTTATAATATGACTGCTTTTCCAGCACCACTCAGAAACACTGTGTTGCTTATAAAGAGAAACAGGAAGGGGGCTGGAGAGAAGGTTCAGTGGTTAAGAGCACTAGCTGCTTTTCCAGAGGACCCGGATTCAATTCCCAGCACCTACATGGCAGCTAACAACCAACCATAACTCCAGTTCCAGGGGATCCGACACCGTCTTCTGGCCTCCATGGGCTTTACACAACATAGGTACACTTACATACATGCAGGCAAGACATTCATGCACATTAAATTTTTAAAAAAGTTTTTAACTTTTTTCAGGTTAACAGATGGTTCTCTAGTAGGCTAGTTTTAATATTATTTATATAAGACACAAATTTGGACCTTTGAGGTGGTTTATAATTGATCTAATTATAGCTTAATTGTGGCTCAGTGGTCAAGCATGCCTAGCATACAGGAGGCCCTGGGTTTTATCCCTGGCAGTGCAATAGTAATAA